AGAGTGCCATGATGTCAGCTCACAGCAACCTCAAACTCTTTTTGGGCTTAAGCGATTCCCTTGCCTCAGCCTCCCAAATAGCTGGGACTACAGGCACCTGCCACAGCCCCCGGCTATTTTTTTGATTGTAGTTGTCATTGTTGATTAGCAGGCCCGGGCTGGATTCAAATCCACCAGCTCCAGTGTATGTGGCTGGCACCCTAGCCACTGAACTACAGGTGCCAAGCCCGAAATTTTAAATTTGTAAATATATAAAAATTGTTGGGCAACATCTTGCTTTCACAAAGCCTGACATTAGGTCAGAACATACCCTCCATGTGCTGCTACTCTGAAAACCACTGAGAAAAGGCAATGTAGAAATTCAGATTGCTGGCCGGGCGCTGTGGCAGGCGCCTGTAGTCCCAGCTACTTGGGAGGTTGGGGCAGGAGACTCGCTTGAGCCCAGGAGTTGGAGGTTGCTGTGAGCGTGATGCCATGGCACTCTACCCAGGGGGGGATAGCTTGAGGCTCCGTCTCAAAAAAAAAAAAAGAAACTCAGATTGCCTGGGTTCCATGTCCCCTCATTCCCTACCTTCTGTTTCCACCTCAGCTCCACAGCTGGAAAAATCACCACGCTGTGCATCCAGAGTCACCCCTAAGTCCCAGCATGAGCACCATTTGCAGACGCCTGGCCCAGCCCCATCGGCACAATGCTTGCATACACTCACCCATTTACTATTTTGAATTTGTTTATCTTTTTAAGACTTCTTTATTAAAAAATGATACCAGGAGGATGTGTTCCAAAAAAGTATATTTTTATAACTCACATTAAGCCTTTTGTTTATTTGTTGGCTTTGGGATACTTAGGAGAATTTGCAGAAGTTAATCTGCAGTGGGAACTTAATCTTCACATTCTCTCTGTAGCTAAATATGCTTTAAATATGGCCCATGTTTACTTATTTGCGTTACAGTTTTTTCTAATTAAAAGTTATAAAACTAAAATACATATTTCAAATAAGTAAAATGGCTTCTTTCATTTGAAATAAGATGGATACTTATATTTAGTTCTTATATTTATATATCTTAGTTCTAACTCAAAATTTCTTAGCCTTAGCCCTGCTGACATTCGGGAAGGGTGAGTCTCTGTAGTGGGAGCTGTTCTGTGCACTGTAGGGCATTTGGCGGTATCTCTGGCCTCCCTAGATGCCAGTAGCATCTTCCCAGACCAAATGTCTCCTGGGGGCACAGTCTCCACTCATTGAGAACCACTATTCCAATGTAGGTGTAATACGAGCTTTAGAATATTTCAGTGGGTACATAACATGGGTTATATATGATTTTTTTTAACTTCATATCTATTTTACCTTATTCTTTTCTAGTTGTGATCATATGTGTATTTTTTAAATCTACGCTTTTTTTTCCTACTCAAGAGACTTAAGAATATAGCCTGGGTGTAGTGGCTCATGCCTATAATCCTAGCGCTTTGGGAGACCAAAGAAGGAGGAAAGCCTGAGGCCAGGAGTTCAAGAGTAACCTGAATAATGTAGCAATACCCCATTTCTATAAAAGGAAGAAAAATTAACTGGGCATGTCTGGTTCATGCCTGCAGTCTCAGCTCCTCAAGAAGCTAAGGCAGGTGGATCACTTGAGCTCAGGAGTTTGAGGTTGCTGTGAGCTATGATGATGCCACTGCACTCAAGCCTGGGCAACAGAGTGAGACTGTCTCAAAAAAAAAAAAAAAAAAAGTCATAGAAGTCTTCTGTGTCCACCATTAGGCCAGACCATAATCCTTTAAGGAATGTACATAGTAATTAATTTACACAAGATATTTTTGTTACTGGACTATCCCAATTTAAACTAGACTTTAATTGCATATGTGTGTTTTCAAAAATAAAGTGAAAAAAATGTATAGAATGATAATTCTTTTTTTTCACTGTAAAGCATAAATTGTTAACTTAGAAATTTAGAGGTTTGGCCAATTGGCCAGTTTGATAGATGAGAAAGAAAGCAAATCTCCATTTAAGTAATCATACAGGGTTATCAAGAGTCTTCCCATAACACTTTGTTTTAGTAGAAGACATCTGAGCTAGGTGACTCCAGTTAACAATTTTCAGTGAATACTGAACATTTGCAGAATTTGAGTATGGACATTAGATACTCTTGAGAAGTAGGAAAGAGCTATATGAGTCTAGTTTGGCTTTTTTTTAATGTAATTTAGAATCTCCCACAGGAAGGCTATTTCATCCTTTAATGGTAAAGTACTTCCTTTTTCCCAAACTAAGCTGCACAGGAAGGAAAACTTCAGACCTAAACCGAAGCCAGAGACTGAAATGGAGATGAAACTTCAACCACTATAAAAATCTCCCCTTGGGCGGCGCCTGTGGCTCAATGGTGTAGGGCGCTGCTCCATATACCAGAGGTGGTGGGTTCAAACCCGGCCCCAGCCAAAAACTTCAAAAAAAAAAAAAAAAAAACAGAGTAAAAAGCACCCCAACCAGGTTCTGCAGATGTAGACACAGGATTAGTGGGAGATGGATGGAAGTTAAGTGAGTCATGGCTGGGGAGTGGATTTTATTCAGGTGTCCACACCTTTCTTACCTATCTGTATTGCATATCCCTTCCCTGTCAGCAGAATCCTGTTCTCAGAAAAATAGGAGCAGACATCAGTGAGAGCTGTCACAGCAGCGTGTAGCTGGACGTGTGTTCTTCTGTCTCTCATGGGAGCACTCCCTGTGTTCTGTCTCATGGGAGCACTCCCTGTGTTCTTCTGTCTCTCATGGGAACACTCCTTTGGCTCCGGTTCTCCCCCACTGCTGCAGGATCACGAAGTTGCGAGTGTGTGCACCTACTGGGCGTTCAGCTTGCATGACCAGTGAGACAGACCTACCTAGAGAGTCAATTAAGACTTGTTCTTAATTGACAAAATCACTGCGGTTTAGTACTGGGGAAAAATTGGGGAACTAAAGAGTAACTTTAGAGCCCCCACAGGTATTATTTATAGAGTAGATAATAAATGCAGAAAATGTTACTACAGGAATTGAGACTAAAATAAGGGGTTAAAGGTAACTTAAATTCAGAGGTGATGGAGACTTAATGGAGTATTATCCAATACTTAGTATTTTTGATGAAACTTGACGTTTCAAGTTCTCCTGGAGTCTTCTGAATTTCCTTGGAAAAGACATTTTTCTTCAGTTTCTTTTTTCTTCTCCTTGTTCACTCATTCCTTCAACAAATATTTATTACATGCCTACTATGTGCCAGATACTACAAATGGTCTTCCTGCTTAAGTTTTTTTTCTTTTACTTTCTTCTGGGAGTAGGAGAGAAGGAAGAGTTGGAAATCGGTGACCCCAGTTATTTTCTTTCTTTTTTTTTTTTTTATTAAGTCATTTATACATCATCATGAATACATTTATGCCATTATGGGATTCAACGTGTTGATTATTTGTACAAACTGGAGTGCTTACATCCTACTAATCAACATAGCCTTCACCTCATTTACCCAATTACAGCATTAAGACATTTGTGTTCTACACCTGATAGATCCAACTTGTACTTGCAATACGCTCCATAGGTGTGGCCCCCTACTAACCTTCCATTGACCCACCCTCCCTTCCCCTCTGCCTCCCCTTTTCTCCTGCATCCTAGGCTATAGTTGTGTTTCATTTTCATATGCTAACAAATTGGTGAGTGTGTGTGAGCATTCACACATGACCATGCATACATACTTAGCAGCTAACTTGCTCTGGGTGGTTTTTTTCTAATAATGGAAAGCTCACATTTTATCACAGCAGCCCCTGCAGACCCAAGGGAAGAAAGGTTTCAGGTGCTAGGAAGGGTGGTTGGATGGAAAGACAGAAGATTTCAGTTGTTCACAAGCTTTTATTGGGCTCTGGCCATATGCCAGGAAATGTGGCTGATGCAGGCCTCAGCCCTCTCCAGCAACGCTGTCCCTTCACTCACGGGGCTTCCCATCGGGTAGGAAAACTAGACCTGAAGCAAGACCTAGAAAGTTGCACCTACCAGTTCCACAGTGTTGCCTGGGACTCAGCCTGGGAGTGGCCTGCAGAATCGCCTCTGCAGGCTGCTGCCCCTGTTCCCCAGGACAAATGATGGAATTATAGAACAGGGAGAAACACCCCAGCTGCGTTTTTTTTTCTGTCAATGTAATTATGGTATTAACCTTCTGCTGCCGGTTATTCTTTAGAAATACTACTCAAGAAAGCCAGAATCAAAGTGAAATGTGTTTCTATTAAAAGAGCAAAAGATGGGGATATGAACTGTCTCTCAGAGACCACTTAAACATCTAGAAGCCACTCATGAGGTCACATTGGCCAAAGATAAAACTTACATAGGTCAAAGGAGGAAGAGCTTTTTAGTTAATTCACTGATAACTCTTCCTATAAACTATGGTCATTTGCTAGCTTGAAATGAACAGGGTTCCTCTTAGAAATGAATAGAAACTGGCTTGGCGCCTGTGGCTCAACCGGCTAAGGCGCCAGCCACGTACACGTAAGGTGGCGGGTTCGAATCCCCAGCCCAGACCCGCCAAACAACAATGATGGCTGCAACCAAAAAATAGCCGGGC